ATCTTCTTTAATTATAAACTATAGTTTCCTAGTATATTGCCATATATATTATAGTCAAAAAATGATAATTATTTATTTATAATTAGTTGAACCCAAATATGACCTGACTTGGAAATGACCCGACCTTATTGTAACCTGCAAATTATTGACTAGAACATAACCCGACTTGACTACAAGAATGACCCGACTTGAAAATGACCCAACCTAATTATAACCCGCAAATTATTGACTTGACCCGAACCCCACTTGAACCCAAGAAATACCCGACTTGAAAATGACCCGACCTGATTATGACCCGCAAATTATTGACTTGAACCGAACCCGATTCAAACCCAAGAATGACCCAACCTGATTCTAACCCGCAAATTCTTGAATTGAACCGAACCCGACTCGAACCCGAGAATTACCCTAACCCGTTTTAACCCGAATTAAAACCAACCTATTGTTCACCTGACCCGAATGTAACCCGACATGTATTAACCCGACCTAAACCCGATAAAAAGTATGACACAACGTGTCCCGACTCAAGCATGACCCGATCCACATAGGTTATGGAATTAATCCGAGTTGACCCGACTCACTCTTCCCGACCTAAACTCGAATCGTTTACCCGAATTGAAAAATCTGCCTGAAACCTCCAAAAATTCTCAAAAAGCGTGGATTTCAATTTTGGAATTTTTTTACTTTTTTTCGTCCAGAAATAAAAATTGCCGAAATTTTTACCATGGTCCCTAATACCCTCCGGAAGTCCAATTGGATGGGTGGAACCATCCAATTTGCCTTTAAACGTCCAATTTACTTTTTTACAACTTGCACCGATTTCATTATCTCAAGGCTACCAAAAACATTTATGAAAACATATAATGATCATATATGGTTCCAAACGGCATTATATGACCCCAAGATGTATCCTCTACAATCTCATTTCTTTTCGACATCAGGCCCCGAAACCTCCAAAATTTCTCAAAAAGCGTGGATATTAGCCTTACATTTTGGAATTTTTTTACTTTTCTTTGCCCGGAAATAAAAATTTTCGAAATGTTTCCATGGCCCCTAATACTCTTCAGGAGTCCAATAAGGTGGGTGGAACCATCCTATTTGCCTTTAAACGGCTAATTTACCGGTTTACAACTTGCAACGATTAAATTAATTCAAGCCTACTACGAACATTTATGACAACATATAATGATCAAATATGGTTCAAAACGACATTATATAACCCCGAGATGTATCCCCTTAAACCTTAAAACTTTTCGACATCAAGCCTCAAAACGCGTGGATTTCAATTTTGGAATTTTTTGACTTTTTTCCGTTCGGAAATAAAAATTTCCGAAATGTTTACCATGGTCCCGAATACTCCCCAGAAGTCCAATTAGGTGGGTGGAACCAAATAATTTGTCTTTAAACGGCCAATTTACCGGTTTACAACTTGCACCGATTTCTTAATTCAAGCCTACCACGAACATTTGTGACAACATATAATGATCAGATATGGTTTGAAACGGCATTATATGACTGCGAGATGTATCCCCTAAAATCTCAATCCATTTCGACACCAAGCCCTGAACCTTCAAAATTAGTCGTTTTACAACACCCACCAATTTCATAAACTCAAGCCTACCACGAAAATTTAATCCAACATATAATGATCATATATGGTTCCAAATGGAATTATATGACCCCGAGATGAATTCCCTAAAATCTCAAGGTTTTTCGACACCGTACCCAACCTAAAAAATTTCTCAAAAAACGTGAATATAAGCCTTCAATTTTGGAATTTTTTTACTTTATTTTGCCCGGAAATAAAAATTTCCGAAATTTTTACCATGGTCCCTAATATCCACCGGGATTCCAATTCGGTGGGTGTATCCATCGAATTTGCCTTTATACGGCTAATTTACCAGTTTACTACTTGCACCGATTTCATTAATTCAAGCCTAGCACGAACATTTATGACAACATATAATGATCATATATAGTTCCAAACGGCATTATATGACCCCGAGATGTATCTTCTTTTTCGAAACCTGGCCCTGAAACCTCCAAAATCTCAAAAAGCGTGGATAAGCCTTTAATTTTGGAATTCTTTTAGTTTTTTCGCCTGTAAATAAAAATTGTCGAAATGTTTACCATGGTCCCTAATACCCTTCGAGAGTCCAATTGGGTGGGTGGATCCATCCAATTTGCCTTTAATCGACCAACTTACCGGTTTACATTTTCCACCGATTTCATTAACTCAAGTTTACCACGAAAATTTAAGACAACATATAATGATCACATATATATGGTTCCAAACGGCATTATATTACTCGAGATGTATTCCCTAAAATCTCAAGGTTTTTCGACACCGTACCCAACTTCAAAAATTTCTCAAAATGCGTGGATATAAGCTTTCAATTTTGGAATTTTTTTATTTTATTTCGCTCGAAAATACAAATTGCTGACATAATTTTTACCATGGTCCCTAATACCCTCCGAGATTCCAATTGGGTGGGTGTATCCATCCAATTTGCCTTGAAATGACCAATTTACCGGTTTACAACTTGCACCGATTTCATTAAATCAAGCCTACCACAAACGTTTGTGACAACATATAATGATTATAAATGGTTCCAAACGGCATTATATGACCCCCAGATGTACTCCCTACATTCTCAACACTTTGGACATTGGGCCCCGAAACCTCCAAAATTTCTCAAAAAGCGTGGACATTAGCCTTCAATTTTGGAAATTTTTAACTTTTTTTCGCCAGAAAATCGAAATTGCCGAAATGTTTACCATGGTCCCTAATACCCTCGGTTAGTCCAATTGGGTGGGTGGAACCATCCAATTTGCCTTTAAACGACCAATTTATCGGTTTACAACTTGCACCGTTTTCATTAACTCAACCCTACCACGGACATTTATGACAACAAATAGTGATCATAATTATGTGGTTCCAAATGACATTATATGACCCCGAGATATATTCCCTAGAATCTCAAGGCTTTTCGATCCCAGGCCCCGAAACCTCCAAAATTTCTCAAAAAGATTGGATATTTAGCCTTTAATTTTGCAATTTTTTTAGGCAATTTTCTCCCGGAAATAATAATTGCTGAAATGTTTACCATGTTCCCTAATACCCTTCGGAAGTCCAATTGGGTGGGTGGAACCATCCAATTTGCCTTTAAACGACCTATTTACCGGTTTATAACTTGCAACGATTTCATTAACTCAAGCCTACCACGAACATTTATGGCAACAAATAATGATCACATATGGTTCCAAACGACATTAAATGACTCCGAGATGTATCACCTAGAATTTCAAGACTTTTCGACACCGGGCCCGAATCCTCCAAAATTTCTCAAAAAGCGTGGATATTAGCCTTCAATTTAGAAATTTTTTGATTTTTTTTCGCCCGAAAATAAAAATTGCCGAAATGTTTACCGTGGTCCCTAATACCCTCCGAGAGTCCAATTGGGTGGGTGGAACCATCCAATTTGCCTTTAAACGTCCTATTTACCGGTTTATAACTTGCACCGATTTCATTAATTCAAGCCTACCACAAACATTTATGACAACAAATAATGATCATATATGGTTTCAAACGGCATTATATGACCCCGAGATGTATCCCCTAAAATTTCAAGACTTTTCGACATTGGGCCCCAAAACCTCCAAAATTTCTCAAAAGCGTGGATATTAGTCTTCAATATTGGAATTTTTTAACTTTTTTTCGCCTGGAAATAAAAATTCCCGAAATGTTTACCATGATCGCTTATACCCTCTGGGAGTCCAATTGGGTTGGTGGAACCATCCGATTTGTCTTTAAACGGCCAATTTATTTACCGGTTTACAACTTGCACGGATTTCATCAACTCAAGCCTATTACGAACATTTATGACAACATATAATGATCATATATGGTTCCAAACGACATTATAGTACCCCGAGATGTATCCCCTAAAATATTAATTCTTTTCTACACCAGACTCCGAAACCTCCAAAATTTCTTAAAAAGCGTGGATATTAGCCTTCAATTTTGGAATTTTTTTATTTTTTTCGCTCGAAAAAAAAAATTGTCGAAATGTTTACCATGGTCCCTAATATATTCAAGTTATAAATGAAATATATTCAATATGGGTAGATATTTTTGTAATGCCCAAAATAGTATATGAGACTAACATTATGATACGGAGGGTTTACATTCTTAATCACTTTCAAGTTTCAACATTTCAAGACTAGGGCTGGAAAATCTTAAAATTAGTAAAATGTAGCTTAGATAAATAACAAATTTAAAGTCCGTTAAGTTCAATTCAAAATTAATAAATCTACCCGTCTTTTAAGATGTTCAATTAAGCTCGGCTTGACTGGAGATCCCTTTATATTTTTGGGTGTAGGGAGTGATTTTTTTTTAAGTAAATTCTAAATCATAACAGCCCAATCTATTGCACAAAACAAGCAAACTAACCGTTGCTCTCTATATTGATTGTATTATTGGATTGGGCTTTGTTATTTGTTAGATTCCTTCTCTGCTATGTCCTTGTCCTAAACAGGATTAAAATGAAGAACAATAAATTACACAAAGAGCATCACCCACAAATGGTTCACAAACAAGAAAACAGGAGTAAAGCTAAGAAAGATAAATTATGTAAATAAATAGATACATTTTTATAAAAACTATAGTGGCTTCTCCCAATATTCTATAGTTATTTCATTTCTTATTCAACACGATTGAAATTGAAATTCTCCATTTAACAATCTTTTGTAATTTATGCGTAACACACTAATTATTATTATCTAATTATGCTAAATTTATTTCGATAAACTTTCAAATTTCAAAATACATATAACTTTTTAACCATATTTTAAAACGGAGTAAACAATGTTGATTTTTATTTAATGGCCTCTATAAAGATTTTTTTTTTGAGGGGGTGGCATCTATAAAGATATAAAGACATGAAATAATAGTATTAAAAATATAGAAGTATAAAATAAAATAAATAAAAAGGGAAATATTAGATTATTCTTTGTCATCAAAGCCTCCCAATTATTATCACCCACTTCATCCATTTCACACAATCAAACATTTGAGAGAGAGAAAGTGAGAAGAAAAGCAGGAAGAATGAAGAGGATACCTCGCATCAAATTTCCTGATAGACACCCTAAACCTTCTTCTTCAACTTCTGGTATAAACCTTTTTCCCCTGTTTTTCCTTCTGAATTTCTCTGTTTTTTGCAATATTTTTTTTACTTTTCATTTTAGTTAAAGTTGTAATCTTTGATCTTCTACTGTTAAATTTATTAAATTTTATTGTTTTTAATCTTTATTATTGGGTTTTTTTTTCTGGGTATGTTGTTCTTAACAGTTTGTAATAATTCTAAGAAATTCCATAGCTTTAATCATCAGTCATCATCTAGCTTTAAAAATAAAAAATAAAAATAAAAAAAAAGAAAAGAAAAAACCCCCTATATTTTTTTCTCTGCTTTTTCATTAGTGTGTTTGTTCTTCAATAACGGCTTGAAAATTCTTGATTTCACTATGGTGCACTTCATTGCCGTAATTGGCCAATTTGGGATTGCTTTATTAGTGTGGGTAGTTAAAGATTCCTTCTTCTATTGAACACACTTTTTCATTTGTCACAAATCAAAATTGAGTTTGCCAAAAAGTAAGTGATCAAGTTTTTTGTCACGGATAAGGTTGCGTACATCTAAACCTTCCGAAATATGGAGTAAAATTAATACAGTACTGCAAGTGGGATTAGAATTATGTTATTATCACAATTAGTTAGGGTTTTGATTTTACAGAGTTTTTAATTTTAATCTGAACAGTGATCATTAGCATATATATGCTGGTGTTAAAAAACAAAGCAGATGTTCTAGCTTGGTTTAGAATTATGCTCAGTAGCTGTAAGCATGTTACTTGTAGTGTGTTATGTTCATGCCTGATTCATGTAAGTGACTTTGTTAAGGTTTCGGCCTTTCGGATTCCTTACCATTAGAGTTCACTTGCATACTGCAACTGACCTTATCAATTGCATTTTCTATTGTCACCTTCTAGGGACAGATTTTGAGATTTATATGCTAGTCAGTGATTGACTAAGTGAGTAGGGATGTGATTTATATGCTAATCAGTGACTGAGTAAGTGAGTTAGGATGTTTTCGAGCCTTTGATTTTGTTAAGAATGATGTTTATAGGCGCTTTTCAATGTCATATGTGCATGGTATGAGGAGTTCCACTTTTTTAAGTACTTTATTGCATTCCATGTTTTCAGATAGAGCATGTTGTTGTTGTATTAATGTACCATTTGATTTGTATCCGTATTTTCCTGCTGTCTGAATTCTTTTTCTTTTAGGTGTGGAGTCCCAACCAAAGCCACCTTCAGGAAACACGAACACCCGCAAGCTTTCCACATCAAAGTCTGACGTTCCTGCACCACCTAACTCCGCAGGAGGGGGTGGTAAAGCTTCACTTCAGCCTAAGCGCACACCGGTCTCAGACAAGGAGATGGAAGCTATCCTGGTAAGAATTACTCCATCCCACTACAGTTCCTCCATTTCAGATCCTTTTATTCAATTAATTCCGAAAATGACACAGAAGAAACAAGTACAGAGTAATTAAGCTTTCTCCTATATGTCCTTGCAGTTGGGTGGCTGTGTTTAGTTTCATTTCGGAAAGTTGTCAATACTCAAAACAAAGACCCTGCTGCATTTTCAACCTTTTCTTGCTTATCCTTCCAATGCAAATGTGACCATGAGCTGAAGACTGCATTTCCAACTTCATTGGTGTGAGACACATTTGGACTTGGCAAATTCAGAATGTTGTTTTCGCAACCGTCTGTATAATCTTCAGATGTACTGAAATATGTTTTCTGTCTATATAATAAACTTATATCTTATGAAGTTATCACAATGATCTTTGCATAACGGCTAATGTAGTGAAAATCATTTTGGAGATGAATTGTCTCCCTTCAGTAAAAACTGCCTATATACAGAACCGATGAAAATCTACTAATCACACAATGGATTAATGGTGACTGATTTGATCTCGTTTATTATTTGACATTAGACCTAACAAAATATCAGCCTCAGATAACACATCCTCTAAACGCACATATATTTTCCGGTCAGATCAATTTTGTTTGTTACAAATCTACAGCCAATATTGACCTAACCTAATTTGATTTTGCGCTACGAGATTGAATCGTACATCTGAATTCTCAACACTTGAATGTGGCTTGTGCAATTGCAATTTCTAAAATTTACAATGGGAACCCAGGAATGTAGAGAGCATGATGCACAAGTATGTGTCAGACAGTAAAATTTGCAAGGAAAAAAAAAATGAAGGCTACAAACACTCAAACAAGAAAAAATAAAGAGCAACATTTATAGAAAGCTGACAAATTATATCCTCAAATTTTAATAATTATAAGTGGACAAGGCTTCTCATATTGTTTGTTCACAAAGAAAAATCTCACATTGGTGCTTCAGATTCAATTACAATCTGGCATCATGTGCAATCTTAAGTTTCCAGCTCTAACTTTCACATATATAGCTTTCAAACAAAACTGTACATTGCTCTATCTAGCTTCACTACTACCCGATAACGCCTTTCAGGTAATGGGCAGTCCATATAAACAAAATGTGGCAAAGAAACAAATACGACCACTTTCTTTTACTTATTACTAGCCACAAGAAGCTTGGTGGTCATCAATCAAACACCTCTAAATTCTCACATTTACGAAGCAGCAGTTCCTAATCGCTGGTTCTTTCGGGCATGAAGAAAAGAATTGATCAAGACAAGCAGCCTATGTCATCACAGTTCGTTTGTCACTCTCCAGTTGCCTCTTACCGGCAACTTCTTCTACTGGAGTGCTGACGTCAACCTCCTTCTCTTCACCCATGAGATACCTGTCAACCTGAGAAGCAGCTTGCCTGCCCTCTGAGATGGCCCACACTACCAAGGACTGGCCTCGTCTACAATCCCCAGCAGCAAATACACCCTCCACATTGGTTGAAAACCGACCATAGTCAGCCTTGAAGTTCGAGCGGTTGTCTTTCTCCACGCCCAGCTTGTCTGCCACGTTCTGCAGGAGCACAGCAACAAAATGGTAAGCAACCATCCCCCATTAAATTTCAAGAATGAGGCATTAGATGTATTATCTAAAAATCAATTCTAGCCCCTCCCTCCCCATTTAAACAAAACTGATACTCAAAAAATTTACCACTAGTATTTATCATTCTTTTTACTTTTTTTCTTTTTTTGAAATGAGAAATAAAGAATACTAACCGCTTCAGGGCCTAGGAATCCCATAGCGAGAAGTACTAAATCTGCTTCAATGAACTCTTGCGATCCTTCAACTTCCTTGAATTGGAACTTCCCACTGGCATCCTTTTCCCACACGACATGTACCAACTCAAGACCTTTTAACTTACCATTCTCATCTCCAACAAAACGCTTTGTGAGAACCTCGTAAGACCTCGGGTCTTTACCGAACTTGGCAGCAGCTTCCTGGTGACCATAGTCAACTCGGAAAATACGTGGCCACTGCAAGACCAAGAAAAAATTGACAAGATTTCCAATTAGAACACTTATATTAATTAGTGAAAGATGGGGAAGACGACGTGAATTTCGGCAAAGTTTTTGAAATTTAGAGAGATTGAAGGGAATGCTAAACCTGTGGCCAAGGGTTGCCAGGAGCTCTCGAATTTGGTGGTTGGGGAAGAAGTTCCAAGTTGACGACATTAGTACAGCCATGTCGAATAGATGTACCAATGCAATCAGTGCCTGTGTCACCTCCACCAATGACCACAACCTTCTTCCCTTTAGCAGAGATGTAGTTACCATCTTGTAGATTACTGTCAAGCAAGCTCTTAGTATTTGCATGTAGGAATTCCATGGCAAAATGGATTCCTGACAAGTCCCGTCCTTCGATAGGAAGGTCCCTAAAGCAAAAAAAAGGTATAGTTATGTCTTATGAGCCATAGAAGGGAAGAATAAAAAAATTGCAATACAAATTTTCCCACAGTTTTACCTGGGTTTTGTAGCCCCAACAGCCAACACAATGGCATCATTCTCCTCCTTAAGCCGGTCAATGGAATATTGTGGATCTTTGCCAACATTTGCATTCACTACGAATTGTACACCTTCCTCAGCCATGAGATTCACACGCCGTTGAACAACATTCACTTTGTCAGTCTTCATGTTCGGCACTCCATACATCATCAACCCTCCAATTCTATCAGCACGTTCATAAACAGTCACAAAATGACCCATTTTGTTCAGTTGATCCGCAGCTGCCATGCCAGAAGGTCCACTTCCAACTACAGCAACTTTTTTCCTGATATCACACATATGAAGGCCATCAGATCACAAATCTAGGAAGTGGAATTTCATTAACCCAAAAAAATTGACAATTTTTGCAAGTAAATAGTATGTACCCAGTTCTTTTCTGTGGAGGCCTTGGGACCATCCATCCTTCCTCAAAGGCTTTGTCTATGATTGAACATTCAATAGTTTTGATTGACACAGGATTTTCAATGATGCCAAGAACACAGGAACCCTCACACGGTGCTGGACAAACTCTACCAGTAAACTCTGGGAAGTTATTCGTTTCCAAGAGTCGGTCCAGAGCTTCACGCCACCTATTCTGGTAAACTAATTCATTAAACTCCGGGATTTTATTTCCTAGTGGGCACCCTGTATTATCCTGCAAATAAAGCAAAATAGAGCAAGTCTCACAATAAGACTACTAAGCTACTTGAAAGAACGTGTTAATATGAATATTTGCACATTTAACATTGTCACTTACCTGATGGCAAAATGGAGTACCACAATCCATGCACCGAGCAGCTTGTGTCTTCAATAAGGGGGCAGGTCTTTTTTCATCCATGACCTCATTATAGTCCTTCATCCTTTCATTTGGATCACGATACTGAATCCCCTCACGTTCATATGCAACAAAACCACGATGTTTTTGAGCATCAGGAACCCGAGAAGGACGCTTGAACTCTTCTACTTCGTCCTCTTCCTGCATGAAGATGAAAACATAAGCCCCACATGGATCCATGGAAATCCATCAAGATATAAGTTAGATTAAAAACACAACATAATAGTGAACCTGACTGTCTTGCTCTTGCAAAGCAGAACTTGCCATCTTTTTTAGTTCTTCAAATGCATCTTTTTCAGTCACTTCAATTTCATCTTTTTCCTCCTCGGCCACCTTACCGCCAGTCTCCTGGGATGCTCCGTCAGTTTTCATGCTTGCAAGCACCCGCTTGTAGTCTCTAGGAAAGACCTTGATAAACTTGGGCAAGAGGGTGTCAAAACTTGCTAGCACTTCCTGAGCAAGCTTGCTATTTGTATGGCGTTGATGCTGCTGAATCATGATTCTTAGACTCGTTATATCCTCTTCTTCCTCAACTTTATCAAGATCCACTAGCTCAGAATTGCATCGGGAATGGAATTTTCCGTCCAAATCAAGAACATATGCTATACCACCGCTCATACCTGCAGCAAAGTTTCGGCCAGTTTTTCCTAATACCACCACAGTTCCACCAGTCATGTACTCGCAACCATGATCACCAACGCCTTCCACAACGGCCTTAGCCCCTGAATTACGTACACAAAATCTCTCTGCCGCCATGCCGTTAAAGTATGCTTCTCCACAGGTTGCTCCATAAAGAGCTACATTGCCAATTACAATGTTCTCTTTGGGATCAAAGCCGCTACTCCTTGGAGGATATACAACAATCTTACCACCTGATAATCCTTTCCCAACATAGTCATTACTGTCACCTTCAAGCTCTAAAGTTATACCAGGGCAAAGGAAAGCTCCAAGACTTTGGCCTGCACTTCCATTGAATTTAATGTGGATAGTGTCTGTAGGTAGTCCTTCCAAGTGGTAACGTTTTGTCACTTCATGGCTAAGCATAGTTCCCACAGCACGGTTTACATTCTTGATTGGGGTTTCAATATATACAGGAAGGGCCTTTTCGAGGGCAGCTTTAGAGCTCACAATCAATTCTTGATCCAAAGCCATGTCCAAGCCATGATCCTGTTTTTGGACACAGCGCTGAGCAGCGCCTGGACGGATGGTAGCAGCTGGTCTAAGCAAGAGAGAGAGATCAATGTTCTTCAGCTTCTCATTGCTCTTCGTCACTTCTTCATCAACTTCAAGCATATCTGAGCGCCCAACCATCTCATCAAGCTTCCTGAACCCAAGCTGAGACATGATCTCCCTGACCTCCTCTGCTAGCATGAAGAAGAAATTAATAACATGCTCAGGCTCACCAGCAAACTTTGCACGAAGAACAGGATCCTGTGTAGCAATGCCCACTGGACAAGTGTTCTTATGGCACTTCCTCATCATTATGCACCCAAGTGTGATGAGGGGAGCAGTGCTGAAACCAAACTCTTCAGCTCCAAGAAGAGCTGCAATTGCCACATCTCTTCCTGTTTTCAATTGACCATCTGTTTGAAGAACTGTACGGCCTCGAAGGTCATTAGCAACCAGAGTTTGATGCGTCTCAGCCAGGCCAAGCTCCCAAGGAAGCCCAGCATTTTTTATGCCTGTCCATCGAGATGCTCCAGTACCTCCGTCATGTCCAGATATCAAAACATGGTCAGCATGCCCCTTGACAACCCCAGCAGCAATCACTCCAACACCAGCTTCAGACACAAGTTTAACACTTACTCGGGCTGATGGATTGGCATTCTGAATTCCAAAATAATACATCAGAACATCTATATATAATTTTTACACAGGTAAACATGTTAAATTGGTCTTACAAAACCACATATGTACCTTCAAGTCATGAATAAGTTGAGCAAGGTCCTCAATTGAATAAATGTCATGATGAGGAGGAGGGCTTATAAGTCCAACACCAGCTGTGGAGTTTCTAGTTACAGCAATATCTCCAATCACCTTATGACCAGGGAGCTCCCCACCTTCACCAGGCTTAGCACCCTAAATAAGAAAAATCCACAACTTAGCAAAACATTCAACGACGGGTAAAGTAATTTGGCATAAAAGTTATTCTCACCACAGTTAACATGTAGGTACAAGTTAAAGAAGCAAAGACACCCGTGGGTGCTTTGCAGACACAGCATCATCTGTCCATAAACATAAATTCATGAACAAGTGGAAACCTCCATTCCTAAAGAATGCAGGGGTTGTGCTATAGAAGTAGTTCAAAGAAAACCAAAATTTTTTGGTACAAGTACTCCAAACTCTTAAGCCATGTCATACCTGAGCCATCTTAATTTGTAACTCGTCAGCATTGGTCAAATAATAACTGGAAACACCAAATCTTCCACTTGCCACCTGCTTAATAGCACTACGCTTAGGATTCATTGAACCATCTGGGAGTGGCTCTAGACGTGACGGATTCTCACCTCCCTCACCTAGACAACAACTTTTTAGTCAAGACAGTTATTCAAAGAAAAAGAAAAGCCTGACTTATAGTGATAAGATTTTAGCCATTAAAATTAGATAGCATGGACAGATTGGGAAAGATCAAAAGCCACATACCTGTATTAGATTTTCCTCCCAGCTTGTTCATAGCAATAGCAAGAGCAGAGTGCGCCTCCAAGGATATTGATCCATAACTCATGGCACCAGTGCAAAATCGTTTCACAATCTCACTTGCAGGTTCTACCTCTTCCAAGGGAACTTGATCTTTCATTTCCTTGAACTTCAAAAGTCCTCTTAGATTGCTTGATTTATTTAACTCATTGATACGTTTTGAATATTCTTTGTAGGCTCCAACACTGTTTGATTTAGCAGCTTCCTGCAACTTTGCCATAGCAAGAGGATCATTGAGGTGAAGTTCACCATCTTTCCTCCAGTGATAATCCCCTGGATTAGGTAGTGCGACTGATTCTGCACTTCCAAACGGAAGAGCCCGTCTTGGAAATGCCATCTCATGAAGTTTCAATGCATCAGAGGCCAGCATTACAAAAGTTGCACCTTCAACTCTGCTTGCAGTTCCAGTGAAACACCTCTCAATGACTTCTGAAGAAAGACCTACAGCTTCAAATATCTGAGCACCCTTGTATGATGCCAAGGTAGATATTCCCATCTTTGCAAGAACTTTCATCATTCCATAGTTGCTTGCTTTAAAGTATCTCTTAATTAGCTCATCCTTTGAGCGAAATTCACCAGTTGATTTAGGTGGAATCTTTCCATCTACTTGCAGCCTCCATATAGTTTCAATGGCCAAATACGGACAAATTGCATCCACTCCAAAACCAACTAGTGTACAGAAATGATGCACTTCACGTGGCTCAGCAGATTCAATTATCAGACCAACACGAGTTCGCTCAAGTGTCTTAACTAAATGCTGATGAACGGCACCAACCGCCAATAGAGAGCTGACTGCAACTCTACTTGGCGAGAAAGCTACAAAAGAGGAAGAAAATAAGGATCAAAAGACATCAGTCATATCAGAGTTGATGAACAGAATTTAATTTATGTTGTCAATTAACCAGGAAAAAACGATCAGTGACTTGTTAATCATACCTCGGTCAGAAAGCACCAGAACAGTGTATCCCTCCTTTATTGCATCTCTTGCTTCAGCAGAGATCCTGTCCAACGTCTGCTCCAAGCCTTTTCTACCCAGGGTCTTGGGATATGTGATGTCAATGACCTTGCTACGCCATCCTCTGTAATCCATTTTCTTAACAGCTTCCATTTCTTCAATGGTCAAAAGAGGCCCCTTCAATGATAGACGGTGACACTGCAACTCAGTCATTTCTGTGAGATCACCTTCAGGACCAATCATGCACTCCATGGATGTCACGATCTTCTCCCTAATAGGATCAATGGGAGGGTTTGTGACTTGAGCAAACAGCTGCTTGAAGTACTGGAAAGTGAGTTTCTCCCTGTTTGACATCACAGCCAAGGGAGTATCATTTCCCATGGAACCAAGAGCCTCAGTGGCATCCTTTGCCATGGGAATCAATAGCATTTCCAAGGCTTCAACAGAGTACCTAAAAAAACCACCTCATGTTAATACTTCAAGAAAAATGGTGCATAAATATGATGCAGTAGTGTTGAGTCATGGCATCTACCCAAAAGCCTTCAATGGCGCCAACAAACCATGAATGCCCATGTTCTCCATGTCCTCATCCAGATTAGACACCTATAACAGCAAAAACAAAATCCAATTAGATTATTTCAATATTGTAAGCTTCTTCATCAAACAAATACAGAAACATGTCAAACATACGGGACGTAATCCATTCCAGGCAAATGGAAACGATTGCTGTACTTACAGGAACTGCTCCAGAAATAGCAGGAGCAACCCTCTCTGTCTCGGCCACAGAATCAACTATGTCCTTCAATACTAACTTCTGCCTTTTCAGCCATTCCCCATATGGCCGAGCCATTGAATATTGCTTTTTTAAGGCATCATCATCGACAACAATGTGCTTGTCAAAATCAACCAAAAGCATCATTCCAGGGTTCAAACGCCCTTTCTTGGATACGTCTTCTGGTGAAATATCAACAACTCCAACCTCACTTGCCATTATAACTCGTCCACTGTGAGTTATATAGAAACGTCCAGGACGTAATCCATTCCGATCCAGAGTGGCTCCAAGATATCGGCCATCAGTGACTGCAAGGAAATTAATGTCAGGCACTCAGCAGGGAAACTAATAGAACTTTAAAGTACCAAAGAGATCAGAAATGAATGTTTACATGTTATAAGAGCTGGCCCATCCCATGGTTCCATTAGGGCCGAGAGGTACTCATAAAATCCCTTTCTGTGAGGATCCATATTCTTGTCATTCTGCCAAGCTTCAGGAATCATCATCATGACGGCTTCAGGAATACTTCTACCAGCACGAACCAAGAGTTCAAGAACGCCATCAAAAGCTCCTAAAAGGTAAAACAGTATAAGATCATTCTCTGAATCCACCAGCTCATCCTAAGAATCTGGAAATTACATGCCAAGCCAAGAATAGCCGACAGTATTTCTGATACTGAGTATTGTTCTCACCTGAATCAGAAGAGCTGGCATCCACGATAGGCAAAAGCTTTTTCATTTCATTCTTTGACAGACCAAGTTCCTTGCACTTAAGCAGACCTTCACGAGCCCGCATCCTAGGATAAATTATTTTAGAACAAACAGTAAGATGGCTATAAACTGTTTCAGCTCTATTTCTGCTAGGTGGAAGACTTACCTGATGAGTGAACGAGCATATACAAAGTAAAAATTCCACTGGAATATCTTTTTATAGAGCAAGGACAGTTATTATAGGCAACAATATCTACAAAATGGTCAATTTAGCACAGCCAGAGTTTGTAAGTTGGTTAACTTACCAATTTACATTTCCACGAAGAGTATTGATCTCCCCGTTATGACCCAATACACGCATAGGCTGAGCACGATCCCAGCTTGGAAATGTGTTGGTGGAGAAGCGAGAATGCACCTGCAAAGTATGAGGAGCATACGTTTCAGTCAAAGAAATTCTCTACCATATACACATCCAAAAATCTCTTAAAACCGATTTGTATACAATTTTACATTCGAAGGGGCTATGGTAAGGGTAATTTCCAGCAAAAATCCGAACTCCCTATACTACCTCGACACACATTTTCTTTTCCATCTCTCCTCAAGAACATCATAGAGAGCAACAGCACCAAATTCTGCAAAGATGATTTAATGAGTTCCTTACCAACGCACCCAATGCATCCAATCGGGCATCCAAATACATAGAGTAATCAAGGAGTGGAAGAACTTAAGAGATCATTCATACTTCAATGCCTCAGAAGTCATTCCTCAACCTTGCACCTCGTGAGTTACCCGTAGTTCCCATGCTTCTGGTTGTTAAGATATAAGTTAGCAGACAAAGATGCAAGTGAATAGAAAATATAATTACCAGGGCCATGTAGCTCGTAAACCTTTCATTGCCAAGATCCCAATAATAGTACTCCTTCAGTTGAGAAGGCTTCAACTGACCTTTGTAAACAATAGTCCTGCAACAATCAAGCACCAAATTACAGAAATTGCCAAAATAAAATATTGCTAACAGAATCATAAAGTACCCTGTACCACAATTAACTAAAATAGAGTGCCAGAAAATATTGCCAACCTTGAGGACAGAGAGCATATATAGAAGTCCTTTACACCGCCATGTTGGAGGTTCAACGCAGCTCTAATAGCTACCATTGAAACCCTCCTCAGTATGTACATCTGTTAGAAATAAATAAAATTTGTAAATAAGCTAGAAAAAGGTAGAACATAAAACTTATAGAGAAAATAGCTCAATAATAACACATATATTAGACATATCATATTTTTGCTTTACTGATTGCCTAACAAGATCAAATTTTATGGTAATACATAATTTCAAAATCCACATCATCTCAAATATAACCAGCATTGCATAGTTTTATAAATTTTAGATGATTTGAAAGCTACCTGCTGTTCAAGGTCTGCTTTTGATCGAGGGGTTGGTGTAAGAAACACCTGTTCAACCACTGGTTCAGTCATCAGAGCAGACTTACCCAGTCCTGAATTATCGGTTGGGACCGGACGCCATCCCAGGACTGTATGACCAAGTGATTCTGCAACCTAAAAAGACAACACAGAATTCAACAAGTCAACTTTCATAATCTAGAACTCCAGTCCAAGGACTGTATGACCAAGTGATGTGCAAATGTGCAACCTAAAAAATAATTCAAACAGTCAAATTCCTTATCTTAAAACTCCAGACAAAAGTATTCATGAAAAACTAAGTTGCGACCAAGACCATAGTTACTCAAGACTCGAGCGGGTTCATGTCCAAGTGTCAAACTCGACTATCTTATACTCCCGTAACACTTTTGCATCTCTTTTAACTAAAAATCTAAACACACACCAAGACAAAGCAAAATGACCCTATAACAAATAAACAGAAAACTGCCATAATCTTAATGATTGATGCATTCAACCGTAAACAAACTACAAATTGGAAGTTAACGCAAACAACAAAACACAAGAAATACATGATATTTTATACCACTTGATAGTCATTTAGTCACGTGATACCTCCTTTCTACCAAAAAGTAACAGAATAATAAATGTCAAATCTAACGAAATTAATTCAAAAATTACCTTAGTAAACACATTTTTGCTTTCTTCCCTTCTACTCTCAGAAGTAGGCAAGAAAAACATCCCAACTGCATATTCTCCAAGAGGTGGCAATTGAAATCCAAGATCCTTCGTCACCTAATTCAATTAACAACCTCCTCATAAAATTACCATCCAAATAAACACAATCCAACAAGTCAAATGCGACAAGTAAAATGAGATAAACCCGAGAAATAATAAAATATTACCTCGGTGAAGAAATCATGCGGAAGACCGACGAGAATACCGGCACCATCACCAGTGTTAGTCTCACAACCACACGCACCTCTGTGTGACATCCTCACCAACATTTCAACTGCATCCGTAACCTTTTTTTTTTTATTATTACCATAATTACCAAAAAAAAATTAGTAAATTTTATTTAATTAATCTTTAAAATCAAAAACCCTAAAAAAATTAAATTAAATTTATTTACCGTTTTACGGCTGCACTCGCCGGAAAGTTCAGCGACAAAACCAACACCACAAGAATCCTTATCATTTTTCGGGTCGTATAACCCGAGAGGCTGCTCCGGAACCAGAGATAATGCGGATTGAATAACGAACCTCGAATTCGGGTCCCGAAGCAGTGGTCGTAGTCTCTCGGATCTTAACCTATTTCCGAAGATTTTGCTTTCACAGATCTTGGCTTCGGACCTCCGAACCGCGTAGCTTCGGGAGCTTCTCTTACCGAACCTACATAACTGTGGCTGCACCACTACTAGTCCTCCATGGTCATCCGAACCTACTTTGGTTCGGAGGTTTAATACCGAACCTACCCCTGCTGCAACCGACATGTCGTCTAATCGAGCTTTTCCGGTTGATTTTAGGATTGATTTTTGATTTAATTTAATATTATTGTTATTATTATCGTCGTTATAATTATAATTGATTAAATATATACGAAAATTGATTTCCGATGATTATACAGGGTGATGAAGACGGCGTCGTATTGACACAGTAGTGGGAGAAAGAAGAGAGATAAGTTGAAGGTCTCCCGTCTCCTCAGCAATGGCGGATTTCCGCGAGGAGAGAGAGAAAATATTGCAGAGGAGAGAGAAAGTAAATGAGGTGAAAGCGTTACAAAGAGATGGGTTGTGTAGTCTTTTTATAGAACAAGAAGAGAGTGTGTTGAGCTCGGTTTTTTATTTAATTTTTTTATTATTAGTAGTAGTAATTAAAAAGGTTGGAAAATCGGGAAAAAGTAAAAAAAAAGTGGGGAAAGTGGGGACCGCAATCGACGTGACAGAGGGAAATAGGGTGTCGGGATGCCACGTGGAGGAATGAGCTTATGCGGCACGCGACAGACGCTAAGGAGAAAAGGGGTAAAATGGTAATTTCATAGAGTTAACCTACAAAATTGGTAGAGGTAAAAATGGTTGTTAAGATTACGCCGCCACTCGGTTTGGGTCCGAACCGCCGCGGCTCGGCGTCGTTTTTACTCTTGGATTTTTTTATTTTTGAAAGATTTTACTCTTGGATTTAGGGATTAGGATTAACTTCTTTTTTTTTTTGGATAAATATAAGTAATTCACCGTCAAATTTAATTATTAAAAATTTTTGAATAATGTGCTAACTATATCTGTAAATTATGGATAATGGATTATAAGGATTATTACTATCCTTTATTTCTTGATTTTGTTTCCTTTGATGTTTATTCCTTTTAATTTTTCACAAAATTATTAGCTGCAAAATGTTTTTTTTTTTTCTCTTTGATTATCCAAGTTCAACTTGGGTGATTTTGAGAGACTTTTGACAATAATTTAATTTAGTAATTAATGTCATTTATCATCGAAATTTCAAATGATTTTCTCATACTAGACTACTAGTTTACAAAATACAATTCTTCAAAAACAATCCAAATACTGCTTGGAGAGAGTGTTTTCTAAACATCATTTGATGTTTTATAGTCAAACAACATAAATTGTGATGACTCGGCAATTGTATTGTTAAGTATTTAATGTTTTCTACTCGCTTCTCATATTGCTATACATGTGCGCATGTGAATATGTGATAATGACGATAAGCTATTCAATTGAGTGATTATCTACCTCTATGACTATGTAATTTAATTAACAACATTACATGTTTAATTAACAACATTACATGTTTAATAAAATGACTACTTTGTCGTGTTGTATATTGGACACATGAGATGATTGTATGTAATATATATTTTGTTCTAGTTCACATTTATAATTTCTATTGCATTGCACTTTCATGTATGTTTATATTTTATAATTTTCTACAAGATATAAAATATTTAGGCCATATTCGCTTGAGCTTCTAGGTAGAGTAGATTAAAGCAAAGCATAACAACTCAAAAGAAAAGGGCTTTAAATTATTGTTGGTGTTTTATATAATGCTACAAATACCCAATGAGTCTATTTAAGCTGATACATGCGGATTTAGTAACGAGTTTGTGTTGTCCATGTCTCACCATTTTTGAACTGTTACATTTTTCATGAAACTATGAGGATAAATTCAAGACATTCATTAAATTGATACTGGATAACCTAATTATCTTAAATATACTTGTATTATATTAGGTCAATATAATTGTAAAGGATTCCAAACACTATTACTCATTTACCCCTTATATGATTTATTGTACAACCTCCCATCACTAGTATCCTTCAATAATCCTTTGATCCCACTAATAGTTTTAGGCTCTGTTTGGTAGTTAGCTTATTGGGGGTATATTAGCTTATTTGACTAACTTTAGTTGATTGACTAGTCAAACAAGCTAATACAAGTGTTTGGTAGTAAACTTATTAAAAGAGCTTATTCCACTAAATAAGCTCTTTTTGGAAAAACTCATTTTAGGAGCTTTTTCAATTAGCTTATTCATTAATTATTGTGAAATGACACTTATAACCTCATTTTAAAATTCTATCTAAACTACCTACCCCACAATTAGCTTATTGGTCATTTCACATACTCAATCATCTTTAAGCTATCAGCTATTTACCAAACACTTTTATATAATCATTTAATACAATAAGTTAGTCAAATTAGTTAATAAAATCAGTTAGTCAAAATCAGCTAACTCAATCAGCTTCCAGCTTTCTCCCAAACAGGGCCTTAGACACCATCAAGCATCAACTAGTCATAAAAACATATATTTTAATTAGGCCTAAATTATACTACCTCCGTTACACATTATTTGCAACAATTAGATATTTTTTCTCTCTATTTTATGTCAAATCGTTGCAAATAATGTGTAACGGAGGTAGTAATAGTATCCCGTAATCCTTGTGAAAGTATTAGATACCAACAAACTTAGACCACTCTCAATGGTGAGCAAAAAAAATGCCCACCCACTATCTCTCTACCCACTTTCTCTCTCAACAAATCTGTTTTTCTCATGGGCAAATTTTTTTCACAATTTCTCTCCCAATGGTGAGCAAAAAAAATGCTTGCCCACTACTCTCTCTCTCTTACTTTTTCAATACCCCACCATTACTTTCTCTCTCCTACACAACACTTCTTTATTTATTAATTTCATTTATATTTTAACAATATTACTCCAAATAAATAAAAACTAGTCTAAATTTGTGTAACTTATTTTTTTTTATTTGTGTCGTTTTTATCGTTAAAATAAAGAATATGGAGGATTTATGGTATTTCTGAAATTATACCAAAATATACCAAAATGCATGTCTATTTATAGAGAATTAAATTTTATGACCGTTGGTAATTTTAATTTTTTTTTTAATAAATATTTATTTCAGAATTTGCATTACAAAAAATATAACCATTGCAAATTATGGAGCCCACCAGAGCACTATTCATCTTCAAAAATGCTCAAGTCTTGGGCATTTTCAGAAATGCTCATGAGCATTTTTTGACTTTTTCTCATTTGCTCACCATTGTAATGCATGAGTAAATTTTATGCCCACCCAAAATGTCCATGAGCAAATTTTTAGCTCATCATTGCTAGTGCTCTTACGAATGAAGTTGGTTAATTGTTTAATTAGGCCTGAATTCTGACGACATTTGTGGCCCACACGAGCTCAAACACCATGTGTATTAGTGTATAAATAAGTAAACAGTAAGATCTTATATTAATATTATAATAACATGTTCAAAAGCATACTTTAGTTGACACGCAAATCTGGTTACAACTGGGGAAGTATCACCTAATTAATCATGCTGAATGTTAGATTAGATTGTGATTATTAAGGAGGACAAAATGGTAAAAGATGCATTGTTAGGTGAATGGTTGACCGTCTTAGATGACGAAATGGCTGACGTATATATTTGAATTACTGAATTTTTTTACTGTTGTCATTTTTAGTACTCGTACTTTTTACCAAGTCTATACATAAACATGGCACTGGATCGGGCCGGCTCATATTTCGACATAAAATATAACATAGACGAAGTAATCCTAACACTACCGAAGTAATCCTAAAAAAAAGCCCAACAAAGTAAGTTTATATTATATGAGCAGTTACATATAAGAATTTGTGTTTTAATTTTTTATCATAAAAATAAAAATATTTAGCTAATATAAAACAATAAAAGAGATTTGAACTAATAACTGTTTTTTTTTTTTTTTTTTTTTTTTTTTTTTTTTTTTAAGGTACATATCGGTTATCAAAAATATTTAGATAGGGAGAGGGTTAAATTTTGAATATAGTCGGAGTAGTATAGCTAATGAGGGGGGTGGTGGGGGAATCGAAGCATAATTCTATTGGCTGAGTAAACCTATTGGCAACACTATCACATTTACTGTTGGCCGCATAACGCAACATACTTGTCAATAACTAATTGTTAGTTTGTTACACCACGTTATGTACATAGGAAAGCTAAATGTCTAATTGCATAGATAAGTGGATAACAATTAGGTTAATTACAATAGGCAATTGCAACAAAATTTTCCTTAAACGACCTTAGTGAACTCATCAAATACTCAATCAAACAAAATAATTCGCATTTTTTATTATACTAAAAGGCTAAAAACTTGAATCTATTACATAAAAATCATATACTCCATATTTTTCGGTTATAAAAAATATATTACCTACGAGAATTAAATAAGTTTAGCAAATTAATCAAAGATTAATACTCTGTAACACATACTCTTAAACCTTAATACCCTACGTGTGTGTTTTTAAATTTGTGATCAAGTGAGCTAGGTACTTTGCAATCCGTACTCATACACGAATGATTTAATGCATTTTTTTATTGGTTAATAGAAGTTTCTGTAATTTATTTACTACCTTCCTTTTACATAATGTGTAACAATTGATTATTTTTGTGAAGTGTAAAGTTTTAATTGTTGCAAATTATACAAAAGGATATACTGTAGTTTTTTTTTGATAGCTATGATTGTTCATTTAGTTGTTTGAAGTTAAAAAAAAAAAAAAAAAAAAAAAAAAAAAAAGATTTAACTATACCTGTCTAGTTGTCAATTTTCCCAAAAAAAAGAGAGAGATTACAACTTTACAAGTAGATGTTGTTATCAACAAAGGTTGCCGGAGAGAAGTGCTTCGTAGTTAGGATCATAGTTCATAGGAACATCGTTGATGTAGTCGGCTTGGTCGTCTTCATGGTCCCAAAACACAATCAAGCTACGTCCATGTCTATGTCCACTTCCCAAACAATGGACCACACGTCCACAAATATATTAGAGTAATACATGAATATCATTATATACCAATATTTATACTCTTGTTAGTGATAACATAAACATTACTTTTTGTACTTTCTCTTCTTTATACCCTATTATTTCCTTTGATGAATTAGGGATTTCCCTTGTGAAGAAGGGTTCCTAATATTTTCTTTTTTTTTTTACGCTAAAAAAAATGCTTATACGAGAATTTAGCGGAGAAAGTATGTAGAATTCAATGCTTATAAAATCCACTTGTAATCCACGTCAGTCTTAGGGCATGTTCACATTTACTGAACTGAGCTGAGCTGAGTTGAACTGAACTGATTGGAGCTGAACTGAACTGAATTGAGCTGAAATGAATATTTTATGAGATAGGAAAATTAACAGCTGAACTGAACTGAACTGATTGGAGCTGAACTGAACTGATTAGAGCTGAACTGAACTGAAATTAAGTAAATGTGAACAGACCCTTATACAAGAGTTTCATATAAAATAAATACAATAATAAATTATAGTAGAAGACAGGAAAGAGTGAAGTTAGCATAGAAAATT